TCACTGGTCTCGTATGCAAAAGATATTCTCTCAATTACATTTTAGGTATATTTATCTAAATCTAGACCAAGCTGAAAAATGAAACCCATAGAGATTAGGTAGATATAAAGTTAAGTATGTAGGAATGTTAAAATTATGATACAAATTATTTGATGAAACATTTGATTGTTTTCTGTAGTCGTCTAGTATTTTTTTGGTCGAAATTAGTCGTCTAGTCTAGTCGATACATGTTGTAGTTTAAAATTTCATCAAATAAATCGTATAAACTATTTCCTGAAATCCAGATTTTACTGCCATGTATTCATCAGATACATTTCTTTCTTTCTTTTTGTTTTTGTTCAACCCATCAGATATATTTCTATTTATTCAATTATTAGTACAAACCTATTATGAATTAACGTTACGTTCATGCTTTTATAAATTGATGAAATCAACATACTACGAATAGAATTGTAGTTTTCTAACAAATCCAGATTCTACTGCCATATATTCCTTAGATATATTTCTATGAACACAATTATTAAAAATAATGAAAAAGAAAACTATTATGAATTTAAGTTAGGTTCATGCTTTTATAAATTGATGAAATAAACATTACCATAAAACTAATAATTAATTCATGGAATAGTATTGCAGTAAACTACCAACTACTGTATTCAATATTTCACTGTAAGTCTGTAAGTAAACTTTCAATCTTAACATATTGTAACTCGCCATATTTAGATATAAATATACAGATTATCAGATCTGCTAGAAATTTAATACTACTAAATTAGTTAGACGACATAATTGACAGAAAAATCAATTAAAGAATCTGTTATTTTCTACGTTGCATGGAAACGTGAAAAAAGTGGCGTTTCCGTTTCGGAAACGAAAATGCGACGGAAACGCGAGGAAACGCGATGGAAACGCGTTTCCTAAATATCTCGGTTTGGAAACGTGTTTCTACAGTTAGAAACGCGGCCGGAAACGTGTTTTCGAAATTGGAAACGCAAATTTTGGTTTTTTTTTTTAAATTAATTTTGGTTTTTAAAGMAAATTAAATAAATATTTTGAAAATATAGGGATTTGTTTGATATTTTTAATAAGTTTTGAAACCTAATTATTAAACACTAATACATTATTTTTCTCTAATCGTCACCGTAACCTAAAAACGTAGAAGAGTCGAAGAGATAAGCAAGGTATTTTTTTCAATTACAGTAGATTTATTATTGATTATTGAAATTGTGAAGTCTTATTAAAAAACGAAGTATTTTTTTGTTCGAGTCGGATTAGATTTGTGTTGTTTCAAATATTTTAAAACTATTGATAATTTTGGTTTCATG